ACCATACCAAAATCAACACAAAATATATTAAAGCCTTAAATATAATGCCTGAAACCATGAAATTACTAAAAGAAAATATAGGAGAAACACTCCAGATAATAGGAGTGGGCAAAGCCTTTATGAATAAGATCCCAAAAGCACAGGCAACAAAAGAAAAAATAAACGGGATTATATTGAACTAAAAAACTTCTGCACAGCAAAGAAAACAATGAACAGCACAGAAAGACAACCTACCGAATGTGAGTAAATATTTACAAACTATACATCTGACAAGGGATTAATATCCAGAATATACAATTAATTAAACAAACTATAAAGTGAAAAAAAAAAATCCAAACAAAAAATGGGCAAAGGAGATGAACAGACATTTCTCAAAGGAAGACAGTACAAATGGCCAAAAAGTACATGAAAAAATGCTCATTATCACTAGTCAACAGAGAAATGCAAATAAAAACCACACTGAGATATCATCTCACCCTAGTTAGACTAGTGATAATTAAAAAGACCAAGAATAACAAATCCTGGTGAAGATGCAGGGAAAAGGAAACTCTTCTACAGTGTTTGTGGGACTCTAAATTAGCACAGCCATTATGCAAAACAGTATGGAGGTTTCTCAAACAACTACAGATAGAGCTACTATGTGAAGTATGCATAAAACAAATGTACTTAACAGTGCCTGGTTTTCCATAGCCTTGCAGTTTCAAATACTGACCTTGCTGTGTTACAATTCTTTATCTTACAACAGAGACTGTATAGCCTGAGGAAAATTTCCTGTCCTTTTCAAGCTGCAAGGCTTTGTAAAACCAGGCCCTGTGAATTACATTTGTTTTATGCATACTTCACACCAAATGAAAGAACAAGATAAAATTCTAGAAACCAACTCTCACAAAATGTAGATATGTGATTCACCTTACAGTTTATTCAAAAGGACAGTCATAAAGATGCTCACTGAGGTACAGAGAGCAATGCATGAACAAACTGAGAATTTCAACAAAGAGAAAATATTAAAAAGTACCACACAGAAATCATTGAGCTGAAGAATAATATCACTAAATTCAGAAAATCAATAGAGGAGTTCAAACAGCAGACTAGATCAGGCAGAAGAAAGAATTAGCAAATTTAAAGACAGGCCATTGGAAATCATCAAATCTGAGCATTAAAAAGAAAAAAAAAAAGAAAAGGAGTGAAGATAGCCTAGGGGATTTAATAAACATCATCAAACAGAAAAAATTACCTATTATTAGAGTACCAAAAGGCAAGGAGAGAGAGAAAGTTGCAGAAAACATATTCAAAGAAATAATGATAGAAAACCTTCCAAGTCTGGGGAAGAAAATAGAAATTCAGATCTGGGAAGCTCAGTGGATACTTAACTGGATAAATCCAAAGAGACCCACAATAAGATACATTATAATCAAATTGTCTACAGTTAAAGACAAAGACAGAATATTGAAAGCTGGAAGGGAAAAAAACTCATTACAAACAAGGAGATCTCCATAGGATTATTAGGGGATTTTTTTTTTTTCAAGAGAAACCCTACAGGCCAAAATGGAATGGGATACTATATTGAAAAAGCTGAAAGGCAAACTTTCAACCAAGAATACACCTAGCAATTCTGCCCTTCAAAAATGTAGGGGAGTTGAGAACTTTCACAGACAAACAAAATCTGAGGTAATTATCACTATTCGATCTGCCTTACAAGAAATACTTCAGCTTTTCCTTCAAGCTGAAGGAAAAGTTTGCTAAGTAGCAACATGAAAATATAAAACTCACATGTAAAAGTAATTATATAGTCAAACTCAGAACACTCTTATACTGTAATGGTGGTGTGAAAATCAATTATATCTCTAGCATAAAGTTAAGAAGACAAATCTATTAAAAGAACTACAGCTCCACCAATTTATTAAAGAAAACAAACTATAAAAGTTACAAAACATATCAAGAACAAATTGTGGGTGGAGTGAGTAAAGGTGTAGTTTCTGCAAGTGATGAATGTTAAGTTGTTATCACCTTAAAGTGAAGTTATTAGTATAAAATTTTTTATGTAAGCATCACAATAACCACAAACTAAAAACCTTTAGTAGATACACAAAAGATAAAAAAGAAAGGACTCTAAGCACACCACTACAGAAAATCATCAAACCACAAGACAGCCAGTGAGGAAGAATGGCACAAATGATCTACAAATTAACCACAAAACAATTAACAAAATGGCAACAGTAAGTAACCCATCAATAATGACTTCAAATGTAAATGGATTAAATTTTCCAATTAAAAGACAGTGAGTGGATGAATGGACTAAGAAAGCAAAACTCAACTATATGCTGCCTATAAGAGACTCACTTCACCTCTAAGGACATGAATAGCCTGAAAGTGAAAGAATGAAAAGAGATATTCCACACTAATGGAAAACAAAATAGAATGGAGGTAGCTGTACTTATATCAGACATGTAAAAAGAGACAAGTGTCATTATATACTGATAAAGGGGTCAATTCATCAAGAAGATATAATAATTGTAAATATAAGTGCACTCAAAAGCAATGCACCTAGATATATAAAGCAAATAATAATAGATTTGAAGGCAGATATAGACTGCAAGGCAATAATAGTAGGAGACTTCAAAATCCACTTTCAACATTGGACAGATCATCTAGAGAGAAAAATCAATAAGGAAACATTGGACATGAACTACACTTTAGACTTAATGGACATAACAGGACAGTCCATCCAACAGCAACAGAATACACATTCTTCTCAAGTGCACCCAGAAATTTCTCCAGGATAGGGTCGGCCCGGTGGCGCACTGGATAGTGCGCCGCTTGGGAAGCGCGGCGGCGCTCCCGTCCGAGGGTTCGGATCCCACATACAGACCGGCTCCCGCTCACTGGCTGAGCGAGGCGCGGGAGCAACGCCGAGGGTTGCGATCCCGTTGCCGGTCCCCGGTCCGGTACGGGGGCAACACTGAGGGTTGCGATCCGGTGCCGGACATGGAAAAAAGACAAAAAAAAAAAAAAAAAAAAAATTTCTCCAGGATAGATCACACATTAGGTCATAAAACAAGTTTTAACAAATTTAAAAAGATTGAAATCATCCTGGACATCTTTTCTGACCACATGAAACTAGAAATTAATAACAGGAGGAATCTTGGAAATTCATATGGAATCAGAAAAGACCTGAAATAGCCAATGCAATCTTGAGCAAAGAAAACAAAGCTGGAGGCATCACATTCCCTGATTTCTAATTATGTTATAAAGCTACTATAATCAAAATAATATGATAATAGCATAAAAAGACACATTGACCAATGGAACAGGATAGAAATCCCAAGTATTTACAGTCAGTTGATTTTTTTCAAAAATGCCAAGAACACTCAATGGGGAAAGGACAGCCTTCAATAAAAGGTGTTGGGAAAAATAGATATCCATATGCAGAGGAATGAAATTGGACCCTTATCTCAAATCATATAGAAAAACTCACAATGAATAACAGACTTATAAATAAGACCTGAAATTGTAAAACTACTAGAAGAAAACATGGGAGAAAAGCTCTAAAACTATGATCTTACAATTATTTCTGGGATGATACCCCAAAAGTACAGGAAACAGAATGAAAAATAGCCAAATGGGATTGCATCATAATAAAACATTTCTGTCTTCTGGTCAAGATGGCAGAAGAGATGGTCCCCAGTGTCACTCTCTCCCACAAATCAACCAATTTACAACTATTAAAAAGTAATGACAGCCAAGCTGGGGCCAATAGAGCTCAAGGAAAAGGAAGAGAGACCTACGGAGTTCATGAAGGCAAAAGAAACCACAATAAAGGAAAGAAAGGATCGCTCCCACCATTTCAAATCCCAGCCACTTCAAGGCTGGCCCTGGTGAGCTCACGAAGCAAGAGTTGACAAAAGCCACAACTGTGCCACTCCTATGAAGTTGCTTGGAGGCAGCAGGGGAGAAGAGGGCCTTGGTGGCTCTCAGGCCAGCAGGACCACTAACAGGGTTCCCATGGACCCACACAGGAATGAGGAGCCACAACCACTGAAAACAGGAGCCACTCGGAGGCTGATGAGTCATCACAAGCAACCAGCACACAGCCCATCCCATGAGAATTGTTTAGAGTATGAGTGGTAGGGGAGATGGGCCCATTGGGGGAGCACTGGGACACAGCATGGACAGCTGATCTGCCCTCCAATCAGCACAAGACCACTCAGTGGAGATTGGCCAGGAACACATATCTGCAGGGGGTGCAGTTTGCTAAAAAGTCTCAGGCCCAGACCAGACTTTCCACACAACCCAGGTATACTAGAACTCACAAGACCTGGTAGTACCAACAAGGTGAACCATTAAAACCCGAGCTACACAAAAAGCCTTCCCCAGGGAATCAGCAGCAAAGCACCAATTTAGTTCAGCTACAGGGTTCAAGTGCTGGTACAGGGTTCAAGTGCTGGTCCCTACAGGAAGTTCCTCCATTTTAGAAGTAAGCAAAGGACAACAAATTAGTACCAGTGCAGAGTTTAAGTGGTGGGAACAGCAAATAATCCAACACAGAACTGAAAGAAAAAACAAAATACCCACAGACCAGACACAAAGTTTGACATTAACTAGCAAAGGTCTAAAATCACCAAAGAATGCCTATAAAACCTAGAAGGGGGTAGGGCTGGATGCCTGAGCCATGACCCCAAGCATCTGCAACCAGCCCAGTGATGACCACCAACCCATTGCAGGAAGTGCACTGGGCTGCTGAACTAGGGCAGTGGGGGTCTTGGGCATTGGCCATACCCCCCCAACACTACTCACAATGAAACCAGTGACAACCACCGAGCTGCCACAAGAAGTGCCCCAGGCTGCTGCCAGCCAGGGCAGTAGGGGGCTGAGGGCCTTGTTCTAGCCCTGTGACAGCTGCAACCAGTCCAGTGATTACCACTGAGCTGCTGAGGAAGTGTCCTGGGCTCCTGAGCCAGGGTGGTGAGGGGCCGAGGGCCTTGGACACACTCCCCTGCCACCTGCAATCAGCTCAGCAACAACAACCAAGCCACTGCCAGAAACGCCCTGGATTCCTGAGCCAGGGTGGCTGGGGGCTAAGGGTTTCAGCCCGCCCCCGACATTTGTAACCAGCCCAGTGTCAACCACTGGGCCACTGCTGGAAGCCCCCTGGTCTCCTAAGCCAGAGCAGTAGAGGGCTGAAGTCTTCAGCCACATATCTCTGACATGTGCATCCAGCCCAGCAACAACTGAGCCACCACTGGAAGCCCCTAGTCTCCCCTGCAGGAATGAAGGGGGAGCCATGGGCCTCAACCACATCCCCGCTTCTTCCTCCTCCCACCTTATTTCCTTACCCCTTCCCTTCTCTCCCTCCCCCTCCAACTGCTCTGCAACAACATCTTAGAAGGTAAAAAAGTAATATTAATAAATAAACTTTAAAAATGAAGAAATAAATAATTTCTGCAAAGCAAAGGAAACTGTTAACAGAATAATAAGTCAGGCCACAGCCTGGGAGAAAATATTTGCAAACCATACATATAATAAAGGGCCAATATCCAAAATATATAAGAAACTCAAACAATTCAATAGCAAGAAAACAATAAACCTGATTAAGAAATGGGCAAAGGACCTGAAAAAATATTTCTTAAAAGAAGAGATACAAATGACCAACAGATACATGAAAAAATGCTCAACATCTCTAATTGCCATGGAAATGCAAAATAAAAGCACAATGAGATATCACCTAACATCTGTTAGAATGGATATTATAAAAAAGATGAATGATAACAAGTGTTGGCAAGAATGTAACAGAAAGAGAACGCTGTACATTGCTTGTAGGAATGTAAATTAAAACGGGCATTTTGGAAAATAGTATGGAGGTTCATCAAAAAACTAAAATAGAATTATCATATAATCCAGCAATTCCACTTCTGGATACATATTCAAAGAAATAAATTGGTTTGCAGAAGAGATATATGCATGCCCACATTCATTTTAACATTACTTACCATAGCCAAGATATGGAAGTAACCTTAGTGTTCATCAACAGATGAATGGATGATGAAAATGTGGTATTATACACACAATAGAATACTATACACTCTCAAAAAAGAAGGAAATTCTGCCACTCATGACAACGTGGATAAACTTGGAGGACATTATTCTAAGTAAAATAATCTCAGCATATAAAGACAAATATGGTAGGATTTCATTTATATGTGGAATCTAAAAAAGTTGATCTCATAGAAACAAAGAGTAGAAAGGTGATTACCAGAGGCTGAGGGGAAGGTGGAGAGATGGGAAAAAAGATGTTGATCAAAGGGTACAAAGTTAGTTGGGAGGAATAAGTTTTGGTGATTGATTGCACTGCACAGTGAACACAGTTAATAATAATGTATTGTATATTTCAAAATTGCTAAAAGAATAGATTTTCACTGCTCTCACCACAAAAAATAAGTTGGTGAGGTGATAGGTTTTAATTAGCTTGACTGCATCTTTCTACAATGTAAACATAGATCAAATCTTCACATTGTACCCCATAAATACACACAATTATTATTTGTCAATTATAAATGAATGAATAAATGAATGAAGGACAAAACGACCAACCTAGGATTCTGTACCCAGTGAAATTATCCTTCGAAAATGGAGGAGAAACAAAGACTTTCTCAGATAAATAAAAATTGAGGAAATCTGTCAGCAGTAGACATGCCTTGTAAGAAACATTCAAAGAATTTCTTCAGAGAGAAGGAAAACAATATAAGCCAATAACTTGGATCCACATAAAGAAAGAAAGAGCATCGGAAAAGGAATAAATTATTTTAAATAAAACCTTTTATTTAACTTATTCTTAATTGATCTAACAAGTAATAGTTCAAAATGATAATACCAACACTGTATTCAGTGATTATAGCTATGGATACATAAAATGAATGGCAGCATAAATCATATAAGGGATGGCTGGGAATGAATGAAAGCCAAATAACAAAAGTTCTTATATATCAGTGTTTCCCAGAGTGTAGCACATGGATGAACATTTTTTTATAATTTTAATAATTATGCATTTATTTTTAAATGCATTCAAAAACAATAATTAGTATTTGAAATTGTTTCAAGAACATCATTGCTTAGGTGAAGTAAAGGGAAACAACACATTTATTTAACAAAAAATACTCAGTAAATAATAGTACAGGTGGTATATGGACACAACGAAATTTATTAATATGGTTCAAGAATGACTGAAGCTTTGGCAAAATTAGATTTGAAGGCAGAGAGAGCAGTTAGGAGATCGTTGCAATAGTCTGGGTGAGACAATGAAAGCCTGAACTAAGGTGGTAGCAATGAGAATGAAGCAGGGAGTAGATTTTTTCAATATTTAGGAGATGAAATTGATCAGACTTGGGAGCTGATTAAATGTGAGGGTCGTGGGTGAGAAAAGACAAGGATAACTTCCACATTTCTGTGTAAGAGACTGACAGTGGTATTACCACCCAAGATACAGGAAGAGAAGTAACTCTCTTTTTGTTGGCTGTTTCATTTTTGGGGTGTTATGGACTGGGTGGCCAGAAGATGAATGAGCTTAGTCTTAGATTTGTGAAGTTTGAGAGGTCAACAAGGTTTCTAGATAGAGGTGACAAGCCTGGACTTATGTTAAGAGGACTGGGTTGGAGATAGAAATTTGGGAGCCATTGGCATAGTTAAAATTATAAGTATGAAGAGAATTCCAGACAGAATCCTGCAGAACATCATGGTTAAGGGATAAGTAGAAGAACAGAAACCTGAAAAGGAGGCTGAGAAGGAAGAGTGAGAGAAACAGAAGAAAGTGTGTTAGAGAAAGCCATTGAGAAGAGTGTCAGCGGCATATTCAGTATCAAATATAGTGGTTTATATTAAGTGAAACAAGTCAGGCACAGAAAGAGAAATATCACATGTTCTCACTTATTTGTGGAAGCTAAAAATAAATAAATACACAAACAAATTGGGGGGGGGGAGAAGAAGACACAACAATTACAATTCCTTGAAGTTGATACGACAAGCGAACAGATATGAGGTTGTTGGAAGGGAGTGGGGAGAGGTAGGATGGAGGGAGGTTTCGGTAATGGGCCACAATAATCAACCACATTGTATACTGACAAAGTTAAATTAAATTAAATTAAATTAAAAAATAAAACATGAAAAAAAACCCAAATATAGTATAGTTCAAGCAAGTGAAAGACTGAGAAATGCTTACAGAAGCAAAATAAATATCATTCCCAATAAAAAGTGGGTGAGGTAGTGGGAAAAAAGGAAGACTGAAGTACACTGAGGAGTGAAAATGTGAAGGAAAGAGTCAGTGTAGATTAGTTCTTCTCATGTTTTACTGTGCATGTGAGTCACCTGGGGATCTTGTTAAAATGCAGATTCTAATTTAATACGTCCAGGGTGGGGCTGTAGAATCCATATTTCTACCAAGCTCATTGGCGATGCTGATGCAGCTGGTTTCCAGACACACGTTGGATGACTAAGAGTGAATACTATATATACTTTGTATAGGTCTGCCTGGAATGGGAGGACAAAAAATAGAGCAGAATAGCTAAAGGGGCATGTAAGGCCAAAGACAAATTTTTTTTTACACTCAGACTTGAGCACTCTCATAGGCTGTGCAAAGAGCCACCAGAGAGGAGGAAGTTAAAATACAGCTAACAGGATAACTGATGGTGTGAGATTCCTGAGAAACAATGAAAGGATGGAAAGAAACAGCACAGTTTTAAGAATTAGCCCAGAGCAGGAGGAGGGATGCGTCCCATTTTGAGACCGCAGGGAGGAAGAATGGATGACTGTGTATACAGGTAAGGGTATGCTAGTCTCATAAAATGAGTTTGGAAGTATTTCCCTCTACTTCTATTTTTTTGAAGAGTTTAAGAAGGATTGGTGTTAATTCTTTTTATGTTTGGTAGAACTCAGCTGTGAAACCATCTGGTCCTGGGATTTTCTTTGTTGGGAGGTTTTTGATTACTTCTTTAATCTCCTTATTTGTTATTGGTCTGATCAGGCTTTCTATTTCTTCTTGATTCAGTCTTGGAACGTTGTATGTTTCTAGGAATTTATCCATTTCTTCCAGGTTATCTAATTTGTTGGCATATAATTGTTCATAATAGTCCCTCATGAACCTTTTTATTTCTGAGGCATTGGTTACAATGTCTCCTCTTTCATTTCTGATTTTATTTGTTTGAGTCTTTTTTGTAATCTAGCTAAGGATTCATCAATTTTGTTTCTTTAAAAAGATTTTTTCAACAGGTTTTTGGGAAACTTAATATTTTAAGATGGCAACACTCCCCCAATTGCTCTAAAGAGTCAATGTGGTCCCTTTTAAAATCTCCAGCAAGGTTTATTTATTTATTTATATATTTATTTTGATAAAATGACAAGGTGATCCTAAATTTCATATGGACTTGCAAGGGACTCCAAATAGCCAAAACAACTATGAAAAACAAGAAGAAAATTGAAGAAATCACAGTTCCCAATTTCAAAAATTTCCAGTTATAATAATCGTGACAATGTGATACCAGCATAAGGACAGACAGAGAGATCAATGGAATAGAACTGAGAATTCAGAAATATATCTATACATTATGGTCAACAGATTTTCAATAGGGTACTAAAAAAATTCAATGAGGAAAGAAAAGTCTCTTCAACAAATTGTGTAGGGACAACTCGAGAGCTACCTACAACAGAATGAAGTTGTACTCCTATCTCACAATATATACAAAAAGTAACTGAAAATTTATCAAAGACTTAACTGTAAGAGCTAAAACTTAAAATTCGTTCAAGAAAACATAGAGGTTTTTTTCCCATGACCTTGGATTAAGCAATGGTTTCTTAGATGACACAAAAACACAAAAGACAAAAGAAAAATAGATAAGTCAAACTTCATCAAAATGAAAAACTTGTGCTTCAAAGGACGCTATCAAGAAAATGCAAAGACAATAGACAAAATTTGAGAATATATTTGAAAATCATATCTGATAAGGGACTTGCAGCAAGAATATACAAAGAATTCTTACAACTCAACAATAAAAAGACAATGCAATTTTTTTTTGACAATGCAATTTTTAAAAAGACAAATAATTTGAATAGACATTTCTCCAAAGAAGATATATAAATAGGCAATAAAAATATGAAAGGATGTGCAACATTATTAGTTATTAGTGTATTGCAGTTCAAAACCACAATGACAC